TCTCCCCAGAAGAGTTTTGAAGTCCACACTGGAGAAAAACAAAAGGATCTAAGTGAGACAGGAGTAAGAAGAGACAGAGAAAAGGGACAGAGGGAGAGATGGAGAAGAGTAATAAAGGACTGGGTTATCACACCGCAAGGGGAATGAGCAGAAGCCCACTTCAGTGTGTGTGTGTGTGTGTGTGTGTATTCCAGGTGTAGTTTATCAGGACTTCAGTCCTCTGGGGAGGATGGAGGGTCTCAGTCCTCATTCAGGATTAAAATGCCCATGAACACACTCACACACACACAGAGTCACACACAGAGTAATGAGGAGTTCCCATTCGGTGACTCTCCAATCAACCAGGAAATGAATTAATCTCACAATTAAAGTATCTGCTAATTCCACTCTGCTTTCATAATGCGAAGAGCCAATCTTTTAATTGTCCTAATTAGAGTAATTAACTAAAAAAAAGAGAACTCACTTATCTCCGCAAGTTAAGTCGGCCCCACAGAGAGTCCTGCAATGTGCCACTTAATAAAAAGTACATCTGAGAGTTTTTACTTAGAAGGAAAAAGTTATTGTCCTGCCTTTCACTTATTCTCAGTGTTTCACTGCGTGACAAACCTGCAGTGACAGCAGTGATGTCATTGGGATGCTGTCGTTGCAGGGGTGATCCTATTGGATGAGCCGACCACTGGTCTGGACAGCATGACGGCCAATCAGATTGTAGTGCTGTTGGCAGAGCTGGCCAGGAGAGACCGTATCGTCATAGTAACTATCCACCAACCACGCTCTGAGCTCTTCAGGGTGGGTTTTTGAGAAGAACTGGTGAAAAAGAGAATGAATGGCTTGTAGAGTCAAACCTCCTTTAAGGAAGGATGGAATTGCATTTTTCACACCTATGTGCCAACATCAGCTACATTTATCTAACTCACAGCTAAAGAATTAGGTTTTTTTTTTATTAGAATTACACCACTTCATATATTAGACACATATTAAGAAAACATTTTGGTTACACTCTACACATGAGTCTTTGATCCTTTGATAGTGAATGTTTTGTGAAAAGTCACATGCTGATG